TTTATAGTAATCCTCTACACAGCGAACTTCCTTGAACAAGTCTTCTAAGTTTGTTGTGCAACTCACGGTGATGATGACTGCGAACAAATCTTTTTCTCATGATTGTCTTCATCTCATGCCATGTCTCTACTGGATATTCACCATTGCGTTTCCGAGAAGTAACCAATTGATCCCACTAGCTGAGAGCATAATCGTAAAACTCAGTTGCTGCCAGTTTTACTCGATTGATCTCTGTGTAGTGTTGGCAGTTAAAGACCAACTCTATCATCTTTTTCCACTCCAAATAAGCATCTGGATCACTCCTTCCATGAAAAGGTGGAATTTCGAGTTTGAGGCTGCCAAAGTTGTCTTGTTGCTGAGCTCTGCCTTTGATATTCCTCAATCGATTCTCAAAGATATTACTTACCAAAAGAATCAAAAGTTTTTGTTGAATATTACTCATCAACAAGATCTAGAGATTTAGAAGAGATTTTGATTAAAAAACTAGATGATTTTCGTCCATGGGATTACAAGCAATATAAAGAGGAAGAGTAATAAAAGCATCTCGAAAAACTGCAAGACTTAACCATAAGTTTGAATTAAAAAAAGAAGACTAGACTCTCCACACAAATTCCCTTTAATGTTCTTGGTCGAAATTAGTTTGCTGGGCTTGGGTATTGGATCAACAAATGGGTTTTATTGGAAGTGATCTACTTGCCTCATTAAAAACCTCTCTTGAAAAACCCGGTGGGACAAAACCAAGAGGAGGGAAAAGGAGTACAAGCAAATCACTTAGGCCATTTGTTGATTTACTTGGACCTGAATTCAAAACCGATGAGGTTTGAATGCATCTTCTTCTTCCTGGTCCAAGTAACCTGGTCGAGTCCAACTTGATGAAAAAGTTTCCCCAAAACCTTCTTGAATCGTTTAACTTTAGCTCCTATCTTCAAACCAGCTTGTTGAAGTGAGTTCCTAAGCTTTTCAACAGGTTCATGCCTTGCTCCAAGCACTGGTTCAAGCAGCCCATCCATGATCATATCAGCGAGGCAGTGCTTGCCGGTTTGGACTTGGCGGGTGGAGTCGGCTCTCCGAGAGGTTGACGACGAACTAGCAGCGACCGCAAAACTCATTACTTGTACGACGAAGAAGAGAGGTTGACGACGAACTAGCAGCGATCGCCGGTGAGGTCGGCGAAGAAGATAGGATTTCAATTACTGATGGTTTTAATTAGAGTTTTCTATTTGGTTCAGTTTAGTTTTACTTTGGTTTAATTTTTTTGTAAACCAACTCTTATTCCCGGTTTGAGATTTTGAATATAATATTTTTTTTAAAAAAGAATTGAATTTATAATTAATATTAATTTGTTAATTTCAAATTTATTATTCAGAAATAATTTAGTTTTGAATTTAATTTAATTAATATCTGCATTATTATTGTAGAAAAATCGTAAGAAATAGTTCACAGAAAAATGGTAGAAAATAATTGGTAGAAAAATGATAAGAGAATGGTTGGATATTTTCTACGACTTTTCTTCCAAATTTTTCGTTGAAAATTTCCTACCAATATTTTGTAGCACATTTCCTACTATTTTCCTACTTTTTATAACTTTCGACAGCCGATTTCATATAACAAAATATCGTAAGAATTTGGTAAGAAATAACTGTTTCCTATGCTTACAGACAATATTTTCTATAAGAATATGACATGTTTTTATTGTAGTAGTGGTATGAGGTATAAATAAATATTCCTGATGGAAACATATATATAATCTTTTATCGTTCAAACTCATTTATGATTACATTTTACAACTTTAAGATGACAATTCATTATATTTTTAGGTCTGTCCTATGTTTTATTAGGGTCTGGAGCAGTGACAGGGATATCGCCTCAAGTTGGACAACACTCGAGTGACTTATGCGACCCAGGGCACGATGAGTCAGGTGTTTATGATATCGATGAGCTGATTGGTGTAAACTATTCATATGTTGTTCATCAAGATGATCGTCTTTAACATTGAGAGGCCTAGACGCCAGTTACCTAGAAATATGTTCAACTTTTCAAATTATTTGTTGATGCAAAATAAGTATCATCGTGGATAAAGAATTTGAAACCTTTAGATTATAGGTTACTAATTGTAGATTATAGGTTATAAATTTGGTTAATATTTTGCTCTTCTTACACACATAATTTGACGCGATATATATGCACCGTGATGAATGCCAGGCCTAGCTTGCCAATTGCCATCCTCCAAGGTTTTCCATTTTTAGTCTACTTTTGAGCCCTACATAAGTTACAATATCGATGATTAGTACAGACAGTGAGATTTGGGTAAATCGACCAATTAAACACATGAAGTTTTCCATCCATTTTGTTCGCACTACGCTAAATATATCTATTGACTTTACTAAAATATACACACATGTGTACTATACTAATACAATGTACGTATAACTGAAAATGGATGAACGTGCAGCCGTTTACTTTAATGTCTATGTGCCATATAAGAATACAACCGCCGTTGACATCAATATGCTCACTCTATGCTAAGTCAACCCAAATAAGTTGGATCCCAACAAAAGTGACCGGCTTCTACATTACTTAAATAACTGCTCAAAATTGTAAAATATGGTCAGTGATGTAGAATATATAGTTTAAATAATTAACATAATATTTCATCACGATTAACAAAAGATATCTAGAGTTTACTAGGCTTCTATATATATCATATATAATTACCGTGTTGAAAATATTCTATTGGAAAATACTTTAATATATGAAAATAGTATTTATTCAAACTAACACATTAAGATTAAAGTATTAAGTGAAAATATTTGTTTATCCTAAATAATTTGGTAGAAATACAAGAATGTAAACATAATTAGGAAAAACTGACCATGATGTGAAATTATGACTAGTTCTCTGTAGCTGTCGGCAAATGTTTTTACGTATTTATTTACCTTTAATTTTAGTGTGTTCAGAAACTCACGTTATAACTTCTTGTTGTGTTATCTATATATTTAAATAGCACGGTATAACTTTGTAACATGTTAAATATATGTAGTACTAAATAAATATTTAAATATATCGCTAACGTTATATTTAACAAAATTATATATTTCTGTGACATGCTAACATGTTTATTGTATCATATATAAACATGTAGGTAATCATTGAAATGTATTACTAACTTTATATTTAATATTTGTTTAACATGCTACATTTTTATTGTATCATATAAAAATATAAATGTATATCTAAATTTCTATTTAACGCCTAGCTAAATTATTGAATGTTAATATAAAACCTATTGTCGTAAGTAGTTTAATTTGTATGTTGTTATTAATTTGGTTGACGCGATAAAAAAGGATATAATTGTTACTAAAATATATAGGATGCTAAAACAAGAAAATTAAAATGCTGAAATAATTATTTATAATATAAACATAATAGTTAGAGGGTTACATTTAGAGTTACAATTATATGTAACCAGTGAAAGTTATCATGTTATAATAACTTGAGACAGATAACTGGCGGCAGTTATATGCGGCCGCATCGTAAGGCTGCTTTAGAGTCGTTTAGCTGACTCGCCTGCAGCTGAAAGAAGTTATACTTACTTTTGTTCAACTTTAAATTATTAGTGATGACTTTATTCTTGTATCTATATAAAATAATGTTGGTTTTTTGGAGATTTATTTTAGGTACCCGTTAAATCTTGCGGTAGGCCATGGTAATCGTTACTCGTTAGGTACGCTGACCGATCTAACGACCTAGCTAAACCCCATGATAAACATCACCGGGGCGTCGAACAAGCCACATAGGTTGTTATGTCAAAGGCATCGTCATCCTTGAGGGAAAGCTTAACATAGTACCAACTACGTCTAATTATCGTTACAAATATTACTAAATTATATACCTGGATATAGATTACAAGTATTGATTTTTGGTCTCTCGTATATATATCGATATAATATATATATATATATGAAATATAATATATATATATATATATGTTTTGAAGGGTATGAAATAGGCACAGAAATGTCGCCTCTAGTTGGACAGCAATTTGCTAGTGACACGAATGATTCGTTTATATATTATTCAAAATGATAATCATTGAGATGGATCCTAGTTGTCGTTGAACTTGATCCATTTGTTATTCTATATGTCTTTTCTTTATTTATGATAGAAAAAAACAATTTAGAAAGAGTATTTTGTTTATTTTATATCTGATTTGGAACGAAGCCAGATATTCAGATTTTTCAAGGTATTCGAATCCACATCTGTATCCGTTGAATAATCAATTTTACTATTTAGATCCGTAATAAACTTGGTATGAGTAATATCAAAGCATACACCTTTTTTGCAAGAAAAACCTATACATGAACAGTGTATTTTCATTTGTAAGAACTTCTGTATATTGGTTAGTTGTGGAGCTGCGAACGTACATTTTAAAATCAATATAATAAGTACTGCCTAGCTAGAAAGACCAAAATGAAATATGGGGGAAAAGGTCTTCCAAAAAATATATAATCCGAACAAGTGGTTACATGTTGTTCCTATATTTATAGGTATATATATATATGATCGGAATTGTTTTGTAATTTTCAAATGATGCCTCGTATGGGGAAGAAGATGAATAAAGATTGAAAGATTTTAAAAAAAAAAAATATATATATATATATATATCAATGTCAAAAGTCAAAACTAACATTTCTATAAAATATTAACATTGAATATGCCTAGATCCAATATTAATATGCATCTGGCTGAAATAAAGAACCACTCTGAAATGGTTGAAAAATTGTTGAAGAACCGATTTTTCCTCTCTGGAAATCGAAAAGTCTTTTTTGTTTTGTTTTTGTTTTCTTGACGATAGAAAGGTCAAAAGACTCAAAACTCTAGAGGCTTGTTCTCATGTTCGAACCAACTTGGTTATAAAATACTAATAGAAAACTCAACTCGATCCATATATATAGGTTGTGTTATAAATTGTGTAACATTAGTTGAAATTAGCTCCCATCATGGCTTCTGCTTTGCTTTTTCTTCTTTTCTTTCATTCCATAATAACCCTCTCTATAGCCAGTAAGTAGTTCTTTACAAACTTTCATTAATCTCTTTGGTTGTCTCTTTAAATAAATTACCTTTGATTCACACGTAATTCAAGTTCTTAATTCTTAACCCTAGCTACCATGTTGGCTTAGTGTAACCATAAACCTGAAAACCCTGGTCGGCCGGATCAATTCACACGAATAAGGGATTCTTTTATACTGTTTTATTTGATGTTTTCCTTTAGTTTTATGTGATGGGGCATTGAAGATCTATAATGGCCTTGTAAATTTATACGAAATTCCAACACACATAAAGCGTCATAAATGTCCCTCAATCATGTGGATTGAGTCAAATGACTATTTTTTAGTGATCGAACTTCTTACGAAATGGATACCCAAATTCCATAATGAATACAGTATGGTGAAATTATTGAATAACTCGATATAGCATTAGTTGGATAGTATGAACTCGAAATTATTGAACTTTTAGAGAAAATCTTTTTTTGTAATTGAATGTAAAATTTTCTCAAACAAATAACCTTTGTTACATCATTATTTTCTTCTTTCATTTGTTTCGTAAACCCTAGCTATCGAGTGATAGCATGCATTGATCAATTTCAGGCGTAAACATAGACTGTGGAACGTCATTGTCAAGCGTAGACAACAACAATATAAAATGGGTCGGAGACACAGACTTCATCACATCCGGAGTGTCGGCCACGGTTTCCTCCACCACCGAGAAATCCCACACCACACTTCGGTATTTTCCAACCGATGAATCAAATTGCTACTCCAACATTCCGGTTACAAAAGGCGGAAAGGTCCTAGTGCGAACGATGTTTTACTATGGGAACTATGACGGGAAGTTTTCATCCCCAACGTTCAGCATAGTGTTCGAAGGTAAACACGGGCGCACTGTATCGATAACCTCGGCCTTCGTACCTTACATTTTGGAGCTGATATTTTCTCCGGCCAGTGGAGAGACCAACGTTTGTTTTGTGCGTACGTCTACCTCATCAGACCCTTTTGTATCCTCCATTGAAGTTGTCGACTTGGCCGATGGCATGTATGACGACCTCGGTCCTGGTGAAGGTTTGTTTTACCAACAACGAATTGCGTATGGCTCAACTGAAATTTTAAGGTACCATCTATATAGAGTTCCTTTTTAAAATCTATATATATTGTTAAATTTTATAAGACTTCAATTCAAAAACCAACTGATAATGAATGGATTAGTTCATTTGGATTGGTTCATTTCTCTTATATTATTTTAGATATTTGTATCTTTCAACGTGCACTTCTAACAAGCACAGGTCTTAACTGTAGTTTTTTTTTTCTTTTTGTGTTGACCATTATTGATAAGAAAGTAAATATTTTGAAATGTATTAAATATTATATGATATGATATAGGTGAGTGTTTGTATATATATATATGTATATATGTATAAACGAGAGAGAAAAAAGGATGAGAGGAAGTGATTTCTCTTTCTATTATTACTACATCTCTTACCACCACAATTACAAAGGGTAAGACAACATATTTATAGCCAACGTATACAAATGACTAAGTCGGTGAACTTGAGGCGGTGAAAGAAACTTTCACAACAAGTAAAACTAAAACAATAAAATATTAGTGTGGATAATTATCCATTTCTTTAACATTCCCCTTAATTATCTATTATTTCATTAACGTATTATTTTGTTTAAAACTTTAACATGGAAAAATTTATTAGGATAAAAATCAAGATAAAAAAAAAATATAGTAATGTAATCTCTTCTTGCAAAAATGAAGTTTGTTCTCTTCATAGATCGATCGTTGATTCGTTTTGATCTTGTCGATGTAATAAACCATCTTTATTAGAATTATATATTTCTTTTTAGATACATATCTTCTTACGTCTTCTTTGATGCTTCAGTAAAAATCTTATCGTGGAAAAACCCAATAGGATAAAAATAATGGTAAGGAAAAAAATGCATCTACACACATTATCATACTTCTTCTGTAAGTATTCTCCTTTAGATATTTTATCATTTTACGTCTTCTTTGCTGCCTCGTTAAAAACCTCATTATGGAAAAATTCAATGGGATAAAAACCATGATAAGGAAAAAAGAGTGTAGCTACGTATATCATTACAATTCTCCCTCTGGAAGCATCATCTTCAGGATATGCATTCCAAACTTATACACCATCTTATTGGGAGTTTTATAAATACAGTCTTAGTAAACAAAAACGTATGATCATGATTCTCGGATTCATTGGACTTCTGGTCCATAGTTTGAGTTGGTCATGTTCTCTTATTTCAAAATTTCAAGCTCTTCTTTTAATCGTTGTAACTTGACCAAACATATTTTTCAGATGCTTCAGACATCCTTGATCCTTCTGGGATTTTAATCAACACAATACTGTATCTGATTACATTCATGACCGAGGAACATCAATTTCCGATCTTTGAGAAAAACTTTGTGCCACAAACCAAGTTTTATATCTTGTGACTTTGTTTTTCTCATTATTTTCGAATAAAGACCCATTTGGTCTTGAATGACATTAATTACATCTTCAGGTGTAATGAGCATAAGTCCAAAGACATTTTCTTTTGCTGATTCTTCTGGAATCCTTTCATTGTGTTCTCTAACTTTCTTTCTTTTCAAGAGAATTTTAGATTCCATTAGCCTCCCCCTTTTTTTTTTAACTGAACATTACGTTCATTTACTTTACTCCGATAATTTTGTTCTTCAGGAACTTTAATATTTGTGGAGCACTTCCAAGTTTTACGAACTTCAAGTTCATGATATTTTGTAAGGAGGATCAAATAGCATTTTCTTTAGAAATGCTTAAATATGACTTTTCTATATGTTAGATCCTGCTGGGATTTTTTGAGATGAGATGTTCAATTGGGATACCTGCAAAACAAACTAAACATAATTTTCTTTTCTAAAAGGTATCATATCTTATGACTAAATCAAGGATCACTTTCTTTGATCCATCTATTAGTCTTAACTAAAAATAAAAAACCCCATGTAATATCTACTCATCAAGTAGAGTTCCCGGGAACATAATTATGATATCATCAATCCTTCATGGATTATTTCCTTCGCAATTCAAGTAGCTCATTTTCTGTCAGACTTGATATTACTTTTAATGTTTGGATAGCTGGTCCAAAAATTTCTCATTTTTCATATGAGCTTAGCATAGACTTGATTGCCACTTTTCACTTTTTGGCCAATATTTTCACTTTCTACACTCATCCAGAGAGGTAGATTTATGAGCCTCATTCATATCATATCACACGCTATATTATTTATTGTCGACAATTATTTTGTCTTTGATTCCACTTTTTTCTGTAATAACATGGTTAATTGAGATCTCTTTATCATTATCAATGATATTATTCATGTACATGATTTTATTATCAACCATACTAAAAAGTCTCTTCATGAGATTCATCCTCTTTTCAACATATATTTGCTCCTTTCCTTTTGAGGATTTTATATTTGGAACCAAAGTAATCTATCACGTTTCTTACGTGCCATAAACTCTTTATTAATAAATTGTCCTTCAGGGACATATTCTTGGAGCATTTTGAACTAGAATTGAGATTTTTTATTGTATGTATGGCATTTACATATGAATTATCCTTTGAACTTCAGGTTCAAAATCGTTTATTCGAGGATCTACAATGATAATTGATTTCATGAAATCTCATTCAATAGCTCCTTCATACCAAAGCATGGAGAAATTTCACCATTATTGATCTTGCGATCTTCTGGATCACTTTATAAATTATCCATAAAACTCATTTCAAGTGTGAACATAATCTTCAGGATGTCCCACTACTTTGATATAGGATTCTTTATTTCTCCCCCTCGAGATGATGATACTTCAAGTTCATCCATCTCGATTTGAATCCCACTTTAGGACCAAAACATATCCAAATAACCCATCTTTGGGCCTTGTATTATGTATCAAATCCTTTTGTGAGACTCTTTATACTTTCTTTGAAATGATGGCTTTACTTGCTCATTCATCTTAAACCGATTTTTGATTTTTAGATCTATTATATAATTTGGGGGACTTTTAAAGATATCCAACCATTATATCTAATAATCGTTCAACCAAAAATAGTGATTTATCTCTCATGATGGTCCTTTTTATTTATTTTCAACAAGACATGCTATGTGAGAAAAACTTCATGTTTTTTTCACATAAACTCTCAATACCATTATTACACCGGAATGGCTTAAACTGTTTATGTTATATACTGGTAAACTTCAGGTTTACTATCTTAAACAATTTTCCATCTTTATGCATGTCTCCATCATATATTTTTCTATAGCATTTCGTTCTGCTGGAACGTTTCGCTTTTCTGGAACGTTTCATTCTTCTAGAACGTTTTGTTCTTCTGGAACATCTAGCTCTTCTAGAGCGTTTTGCTATTTTTTGAGCTTTCACTATCTTTGAATTTCTCTCGTCAAGAGTGTTTAGTTCTTCAAGAACTTCTAATTTTTCATGAATTTTTAGCTCTTCCAGAACTTCTAACTCTTCTGGAGTTTTTAATTCATGAAACTTCCGCAGCTCGTAATTCTTCTGGAGCTTTTTAACTCTTCTAACTCGCGAAGGTTTCGGAACTTTTAATTCTTCAGGAGATTTTTAACTTTTGTAAAATTTTCAGGACTTTTTAGCTCTTCTGGAGCTTTTATTTTCAAGAGCTCTTTAACTCTTTCGGAAGTTCTGATTTTTAAAGACATGCATATTTCACTGTCTTTAACCATATTAATAAAATAAATTAAATAGTTAAACATAAATAAATAACAAAACAAATAAAAATTAAAATAGTTAGCATATATGTTAATCGTCTTCTGGACGAAAGTTATTAAACAGTTTTTCAGAAACGTTTTTAATTATATATCTTCTGGATATATATTCTTCATATAGTTCTTTTGGAACTTATTTTCATATATGTATTCGGGACATTTTGTTTTTTCAAATATGTCTTCTGAACATAATATATTTTTCTTAGTTTTTCAGGAACTTTTCTTAAATGTCTTCGGGACATTTATTATATGGAGGTAATGATCTGAGGAGTCAACTACCATATGATCACAAACCAACCATATTTTTGATTTGAGAAGACATAGTCTACCATATGATTATAATCGTAAAGACATAACCTTCATAACGATTGGTTCGGAGAAGGTAGCGCCTATTATCCCGACCATAGAATATAAACATAAATGGATTTAGTATAATTTAAACTTCACCTTTCTGGTATAAAAAAAGATCTCATCTGTTTGGTATTAGATCGGATCAAGAGACGGTATTAGATCGGATCAAGAGACGTTGGTATATAAGGTGAAGTATAATTATGTATATAATATAGAAGAAACGAGAGAGAAATGGGATGAGAGGAAGTGATTTCTCTTTCTACTATTACTACATCTCTTACCACCACAATTACAAAGGGTGAGACAACATATTTATAGCCAAAGTATACAAATGGCGAAGTCGGTGAACTTGAGGCGGTGAAAGAAACTTTCACAACAAGTAAAACTAAAATAATAAAATATTAGTGTAGATAATTATCCACTTCTTTAACAAAATGGTTTTTTAACGTCGTATTTTGAAATGGTTTTTTAGTACCTAAACGCAAACATATATAATTTCCAAATTTAACAATAATCAAGGACATAGTTTAACTAACCACTCCATAAATGTATATAAATTGTCCCGGAACATGATTAACTACAAGATTTAAACATATATTTACAAGTTAATAGCTTCTCGTGTATATGGGCTATATACGAATTACCTTTTCTTTTTTTTCCTTTTCTTTTAGATCGGATCTTTACGGTAGGTTCTGGCTTCCTTCCGAGATAACCTTATTGTTCACAGTAACACCATCCTTGGCTGCATCCATCGATACCTCTGGTGCATCAAACAACCCGCCTGAGTCCATCCTCCGTAACTCTTGGACTTGGAGCATGGAAGGCTTAACATTATTCGACCCCAGTCTTCCTTCTGGAGGAGTTCCGGTTTATTTGGCTATGTATTTCTCGGAGCCTCTGCAGTCCAGTGTACGATCGTTCAACATAATATTTGGCAGTACAAAAGTTGGTAACGGTCCAGTTGTACCAATGTTTGGAAAAACTACACAAGTTGTAGTGAGAGACGTCGCGGCCAGCTCTAGCACCCATCTATTCTTCCAGTCCACAGCTAGTGCGGTTTTACCCCCCATGATAAATGCATTGGAGCTTTATGTGATAAGTTCGGGTACAAGCGGAAGCGGAAGTGGAAGCGGATCAGGAACAGGTGGAGATGGTGGTGGTGATAGTGGTGGTGGTGGTGGTGGAGGAGGAGGGTCTGGGAGCGGAGGTACTTTTATTTTTAGATGCATTTTCAGTGATAAGTCGTGAGATCCTAAATTTTCCAAAAACAAAAGCATAAACTTATTAGTATATTTGGATCATACAAATTACGTACGTAATATAAATTTTACTTTTGTTTTATAAGGGTCTGGTGGGACTAGCAAAGGAGGAAGCAATGAAGTGAGTTCAGGTTTGTATTTCGACTTTCCTATCCATTTTAACTTGAGATCTTGATGGGTTTATTAATTTAATGAAACTAACCATATATAACATGAGATATCATTATGCATAGATCACAAATAAAAAAATTAATGCAAGTAAGTACATTACAATTTTTTATTTTGGTTTAGGCGGGTCAACCAATGAAGAAAAGAAAAGTAAACTGCCAATAATAATCGGTGTTGTCATCGCGGTAGCGGTTGTTCTTATTATCGCATATGTGTTCATTGCTATTTTCTTGGGAAATCGTCGCAGAGCTAGGATGCAAGCGTTGGCATTGCCAGCGTCCACAGGTATATATACATTGAGCCTCTTGATGTGTTTGGTATAATTTGTATATACAGTGATTATATTTGATCCATTTAATCTAAAGATATATTAAATAATTTGGTCTTGACTAATTTCTATGCATGTACTATAAGTCTATAAAGATGTGACATTTGAAATGTTTACCGACAGTGACTAATTTGGGGACCGGAGCATCCCCTCTAGACGGACAACAAATAGGCAACGATTCAAATCAGCCTACAATTGATGCGGACATAGGAGAAATCGGCGACTTAATTGGAGTGAATCAATTGTATGTAGCGCAATGACACTGAACATCATGTGAAATATATGTTTTTGCTTTCCGTTATATGTGTTTCCAATTATTTTTTTCGGTTTCAATTTGCAAATTTTTTTATTCTTCTTATCCTCAATCGTGTTGTCAATTATTTATTTCGGTTGAGACTTGAGAGATAAACAATAGTTTTACTTTTTTTTTTTAACAACTATCTTTATTTATATCAAATCAAAATACATGCAGCATACATAAAATACAAACAATACAACATTGTAACAAAACATGAAAATAAAATATGACAAATTTTCTCTGAGGATTTTCTCTCAAATAAAGTATCCATCCTTCATTCCTTGGATTCGCATTCAATCTAATGCAATCTTCAGGAATGAAGGATGGATACTTTCACATATTTATCTATAAAAAAAACTATTTCACATATTTGAAACAGACTGTTCATTGGTCAAATGGCCATCGGCTTTTGATATTGTGTTGGACGCATCTCTCTTCTCTTTAGAGCATGGATTTCAATTTAGATCTATAGTTGTAAACTAATAAGTAATAAGTCTACTAGTTTAGTTTTATGGAAAACCATAAAAGGTTATGAGGAACTTGCGTGTGGGTGATATATTGGTACCAGGTTCATGACTAAGAGCATTTTCATCAATGAGAACCCTTAAAAGTATCTCAAACAAAAAAAAAATTATTATTTTAATATAATTAAATTATAATTAAATTTTTATTTTAAAAAAAATCTAAACCAATCTATGAAAGACAAGTGTATTATGGAGTTTTCAAGTGTATCTCAAAACTTCTTATTTGAAAACCCCTTCTCATTTTCTCTCTTCATTTTTTTATTATTTTCTTATTTTAATCATGAGATACACTTTTTGATCAAAAAAAAATCATGAGATACTCTCATGAAAACCCATCAGTAGAGATGCTCATGCTCTAAGGACGTAAACTATTCACTACAAACTCTAGTATGATTCTACAGTTACATTTGAGTGTAAAGAGATCGAAATAGTAGAAATCTCAAAAACAGTTACAAGATCGTGACAGTTAGCCAATCCATCAGATTTTAACATGTATAAAAGACTTTTTAATTAAATAAAATAATAAAAAAAAAGAAATAACGAAGAAAAAGTTAAAATAATTTTGAGGTCATTTTTTAATTTAACAAGTAAGAGCCAAAATTGTTTTTCTTTCTTCACTCGGATGGACTGGTGAATCGTTTATTTGGGTTTGCCATAGTTATACTAAAGAAAAGGAAAAGAACCAAAAATAAATTTTATTGAAAGTAATCAACATGACAAAATAGAGATGAAACTCGGAAAATAACAAATAGCGTATGCACAGAATTTAGAAGTGTGAGCTATATCATAGGTTTTGATTTTGGGATCATGTATTACCAACGGGTACCATTCACCCTCATAAAACAATAACTTTTCAAGACTGCTAGGGGTTTGAGTGCCCATATGGGATCCTTCCCAAACCAGGTAGAAGTTTTATAGAGATCTATGGAATAGATTTTGGTCCATGTCTTGTGATCTGAATTGTGCGACCATATCACTCGGTTGGGCCACTTTTTCTCGGATACGCATAAACAATCATTCAGGTTGCACATGACAATTCTTTCAATAGAGTCGTGGACAGAAGGTGCTTTAGAGATGATTTGAAAGGTAGCGAGAAGATTGAATCTCTTTCTCGTTGGAAAGGGTTAAGTATTTATAAAAATTTATTTGTTTGGGTTAGTATACCGAATCGGACCTTGGATTGTTGGTTTCACGGATCGGTTTGGGATCTGGCTCGACTGGATCAGAATCTTGTGCTTGCATCATGCTTCTGACAGTCTTACCAACTTTTCTTGGTGTAATCCTCTTGCCGCAAGACCGTTTCTTAGCGCGTTCTTGAGTGTACGGATTGGGTTCAGAATTCAGACGCGGTATAACTTTTGCTGAACCTCTGCTTTTCTTTTGCCTTCTGTGAGTGGTCACTATCCTCACTGATGAGGACCATATACAGATATTATGAGTGATAATAATCAGACCATATCATATAAGATAAGAGAAGACATGAGGCTGACCTTTGACCATCGCCGATCAGATTCAAACCTTCTCATCACTTAGTTTATTTGTTTTTTTTTGGTTAATGTCACAAAATTCCAACCTCATGGACTTACAAAGGGTATGAGCAATCGAATCAGTCTAACTCGTATTCCGATTGTCGAATGGAGGAATATTTTGAACAGTGTTTCCCGCTTAATAAAAAATTCATACTTGATCTGGATTCCCTGACACTAGGACCGGACTGTTGGGATTGTCTCGCTGGCTGACTCTTTCTTTCGGGTACATGTGCGGGCTACATTTCCTTATATCTTGATTTTTCCAGATCACTGAGCTTAAGTTTAGGATATAGAGAAAGTAACCTCTCTTCTTCCTGACCACTCAATTCTCGATCTCCTTATCTCCGACAGCATAATCTGCGCTGCCAAGTACAAGGAATCCGAGAACATATGACATTTCGTACTGGATCTCTCGAATTCAAAAAATTCAAGGTCCGATGTTATATGTTTAGGTTGTGTTGGACTGTAACCCAACACGAAACCTAATTTGGCCTAGGGAACCATATCTACCGAAAAACCATAGACGTCTGTAAGTACGTGATTCGTCCATGTAAGAAATATTGAATCTATCCCAAGAACAAATTAAAGAAAAAATATAATATATTATATTAGAGGAAAACTAAAATAATACAGTTTGAAGAAAATTTTTTTTTACAATGTTATAAATGAAAATATGTACGAAGCATGTAAATTTTAATTTCAAGGAAAAAAATGGAATAACATAAATATTATAGATTACAGGTTATAAGTTGGTTAATATTTTGTTTCTTCATGCACAACATCATTTGACGCGATATCTCCACCGTGATGAGTGATTGAGAGCCAGGCTTGCCATCTTCCAAGATGGCATCGTTTCAATCATCTTCCCTCGCGCTCCACTTGGTTCCATTACTTCAAAGGTTTTCCATTTTTAGTCTACTTTTGAGCCCACACCAGTTACAATATCTATGATTAGTACAATGTACAGACGGTGAGATTTGGGTAAATCGTCATATGAAATTTTCCAACCTAGCTAGAACCTAGATTCAAAAGAAATTTTCCAACCATTTTGTTCCCACTGCGTTAAACATATTTATTGACTTCGTTAAAACATACACACATGTGTAATTATACTAATACAATGTACGTATAAGTATGAATGAACGTGAGCCGTTTACTTTAAAGTCTATGTGCCATATAAAGATACAAACGCCGTTGACTTCAATAGTTTCACTCTATGGCATAGAGTCTATGCTAAGTCAACACAACTAAGTTGGATCAAACTCAAAATTCATTTCTTCTTCCTAAAAGATCAAGTTCCCTACAAATAAATGACCATGTTCTACTTTACTTAATTAATTGCTTTAATTTGTAAAATCTGGTCACCGCGCAACCTGCCATATCCAAAATATATTTTAACACGCTGCATGACATAGTACAATGGCGGCTTAGTCTGTTTTGATACCCTGCTTTATATAATTTGATGAATTCACGATTGTTCTAAAACCAAAATCCAGATCTGACCCGCTGTACAACCTCGAAATGTCAAGTCAACTACATATGGACACTTCATTTTATCTATATATTAGGTATGTGTGCATGTACTTAGAAATACTCCATGTAAATAAGTTAATCTTAGCTTGTTGATGATGGCGGCGCATCTTTACCTCATCACTCTCTTCTCTCTCTCGGCCATTACCCTTTCAGTCGCAGAAAGAACGTACAAATATGAAACTCCCCTAACATTTATATTATTTTCTTAAACCCAAATTTTCACTGATCATTTTTTTCTTTGTTTGATCATCATAGATATAAGCATTGACTGTGGATCAATGGGATCCTACGTGGACTCCAACAATGTAACATGGGTCGGAGATGAAGGCTTCGTCACAGCCGGCAAGTCCATGAACAATTCGGACGTTGTTACAAAGCCGCTCAACACCCTCCGATACTTCCCATCGGGTCAAAGCAACTGCTACACCAACATTCCGGTGACAAAACGCAAGAAAACACTCGTGAGGACGAAGTTTTACTACGAGAACTACGACGGGAACTTTTCGCCACCATCTTTCGACTTGGTTTACGACGGCAAACACCGTGATTCTGTTGAGATCACCGAGTCTTTGCTCAACGACGAGAAAACATTCTATTACTCGGAGTTGATATCTACTCCGTCGAATGAGAGTATTAGCGTATGCCTCTTCCGTACGTCTCCAGCCGATAACCCTTTTATATCGTCCATTGAAGTTTACAGCTTAGACGTCGGCATGTACGCCGATCTTGGTCCCAACGAAGGTCTGATTACCCGACAAAGAACTACTTGCGGTGCCAAAGAGAGTATAAGGTATACATCAATTTTCGTAGTCTTAAAAATAGACATATTGTGAAAGGTCTTGTGGTCAAGTGGTAAGGGAATGGGTTTGGAACGCTAACAAGTCCACCTGCTATGCAAAACTCCTTTCGATCCACCTGCTATGCAAAATTCCTTGTTTACAGCCCATTTGAATCTTCAGAGAAAAACTCTTTCCATGGGTTGCATCTCATAAAGATTATTTTGGGTCTTTCCATAGATTTAGAATTTAAGAGTTAAAAAATAAAAAAACTAAATTAAACATTGATAGATTTTTTTTTATAATGTCGTTTTCTAAATTCTAACCGAAGTGAAGCCCCCAAAATTCAATTATCGATATGTTTTCGTTCTTAAAGTTTATAAATTTGGGGTCCATATCTTTCATTTTTGGCATGGATTTTGATCGTGGATATATATATATATATATATATATATATATATGTCTTAGTAACAGTTTATTTAGCTTCAGGTGGATTTATTATAATTGTGTTTTATTAATTATAATTACTTTGGTTCAACGTTATATTATTGTAGATATAATAATATACCGAACTAATTCTAGTATCTAATGTTGGTTTCTTGGAAACTTATTGTAGCTACCCGTTAGATCCTTACGGTAGGCCATGGTTCCCGTTAGGGTTCGACTACGCACTGACCAATCTAACGACCTCAGCACTATCGATAGACATCACGGGGGCGTCAAACAAGCCGCCAGAGGTTGTTATGTCGAAGGCATTATCATCATCGTTAGGAGAAAGCTTAAAACTTTCCAACCTGGCTCTCCCATTAACCGGTCTACCAGTATACTTGGCTCTTTACTTCTCAGAGCCTCAGAGTCTAGGCCGGACCCAAAAACGGTCATTCAACGTTTTCTTGGACGGCACGCAAGTGGGTTCTGGTCCCATCGTACCAGTTTTTGGGAAAGCTACTCAAGTCGTTCTGAGAGATGTAGTGGCCACCTCGCTGTCCCAGATAGTCTTTCAGTCCACTGATGGCTCGGTTTTGCCGCCCATCATCAATGGTTTGGAGCTGTACTCGATAAGTAACAGCCGGGACGGTGTAGTTGGAGTGAAACCACGTGCAAAAAACGCTGTAGGAGGTTCGTACTCACAATATGCATCCAGTTTTATGATAAAAGTTATTAAATGAAACAATTTTTAGTAATTTATCAGTAAAAATATAGCACTAAATCGGATAGTCTTTTATGTCATTACATTTTCTTAGCAAATTTAGATAAAGATTCAATTGGTATTTTTTTAGAAATAATGAGCATATACTGCACTTGCCTTAATTTTCTTATATTATTGTTACACAAAAATTTTTTTGACACCCTTCTATTTCGACTTTAGATGGGGCAAAAACCAATGGAGGAAAGAAGAAGAAAAACAAATTACCACTCATTCTTGGTGTTACGTTTGCCTCCGCGTTTGCGGTTCTCTCATCAGGGATTTGCTAGTGACACGAATGATTCGTATGTTGTTCAAGATAATCATCATTGAGAAATTGATCCATTTGTTATTCAAGATGTCCTTTCTTATTTATGAAAATTTCTTTTATAAAGAGTATTTTGTGTAATCTATATCCAACCTACAATTGTCATAAAAGTAATAGGAAAAGGTAATTGAAGCCGATTCAAGAACTGATGCCGAAATCTAAAATGTTATCCACAATATTTTTGGAAAGGGTTGTAAAAGGTGTCGGAATTCGAATTTAACCGATGAAGAGAAACGAGAATAATCGCAAGCGTTATTTCGTTATCATTCATGGTTTCCAATTTGAGGATTCTATCTAGCAAGATCAATAATCTCTTGGTAATAAGTAATACAGTCAGAAAATTTCTGTAATAAGTAACAATTAGCCATATGGTTTCCTACCAGAGAATACGGTACTTTTTGGTTATAAGTAAATCTTAACTTGTTCAAAACTAAATGGTATTTTATGATTCTTGAGGGCGGTAGCTGTGAGTTGAACAAGGAATTGAGATTGGAGTGGTTATATATACGTGGTCGACCTTAGGGCTAAATCTGGAACTTGAGACAGCTTAATTTGGACGATGCTTGTGCTTGATAAGTCATAGCCCTTTTTTGTTTTCCCGCTTTATGACTAACATAACAGATTTAAGCATATGGTTGACATATTAGAAGAAAAAAATTGAGTGAAAGTGGCTATTCCTTTGGATTGCTCTAAAAATCAACAATTTCAGTTAAATTTGCATTACTAAAAATTATGTTGGACTCCACTAAAAAGTGGAAAATAAGCCTAAACCTACTAGAAATTGTTTCTCTACAATAACAGAGAAAAAAAACGTTAGAAAAAGGCCTTATTCTACTCAATTATTTCTCATTTATCATTATTCTTTTTATTCCTCTCATTCATCTCACTCACTACCATTTGCACCCTTGCTCTAGGATCTAGATGATCTTAAGCCCAAATGATTGACCGGTCTTTGCTACATAGTTGAGTGAACTCGAGATGACGTGGAGGTTTATACTGGTTCATGAACTTCGTATGAGTAATATGAAAGCATACTTTTCTGCAAGAAAGACCCATATATGAAACTGTATATTTTCATTTGTAAGAACTTTAGTATCATATTGATTAGTTGTGGAGACTGCGAACAAACATTTGTATAGTCAATAAAACAAGTGCCTAGAAAGTCCGAAAAGAGAAATGGGGGGGAAAAGTCTCCAATAAATCTATAATCTTATCAAGCCAACTAAGATCACAAGGCCTCAAGTTGTTCTCATATTTCTAGTTAAAATTAGACCTCAAATTGTGTAGTATATAACTGTATCAATATCAAAAGTCAAAAGTCAAAACCGAATTTTCTATATAGCATTGGCACTGAATATGCCTTGATCCAATTCTAATTATCTGCATCTGGCTGATAAAAAATAGAGTCAATTAGCTACAGAATATATAAAGAATCACTCCGAAATGGTTGCATAATTGTTGAAGAAGCAATGATATCCTCGCTGGAATATCGAAAGGTCTTTTTTGTTTTTGTTTTCTTGACGACAGAAAGGTCAAAACTCTAGAGGCATGTTCTCATATTCGCTTTCAACTTGGTTTTAAGATACCAAACTCAACTCGATACATAACTGCATATATGTAACATCTCTATCCTGAGCTTCTTAGAAAGGTGGAGAATCGAGCATGTTAGGTTGGTAGTCTAATCCATTTTGTGCTTTTGGTGAAAATCTAAATTTCTTTTCTTCATCTAAATTTATTTTCTTTCTCTTTTACTTTTAGCTAGAATAAAGCTCATATGAGATTACGAGCTATCTATTTTCTAATCTTGTTTTTATGTTTCAATGACCTCATTTGAGAGCTTGAATCCAATAACATAAATTTTGTTACGTTTCATGGCCAATAAGTAGATTGAATCATTTCCTCATGCATTAGTCTAGATTTTTTTCTTCTTAAATTTGATGAAAAATCCTAATAAACATAGGCTAAAAATGTATTTTTTAAAAAAAAATTTTCATTAATTTTTTTTTAAATATATTATATTATATTAAAAAATGTTTTTTTTTACACGAACTGTCAAAAAAAAAATAAATGAAAGAACTAAAGTCATCAATCTAAATTAACAATTAAAAAACCATTGCACTATCATCGGGTGCCAAACCAAACTATCATTCCGTCGTCATAGCTATGGTCGTTAGCCAGATGTAGTGAGCTCAATCTGTTGCGCATTGTTTTGTCAAGAGTTCTTGTCAAGGTATCCACTGGGGTCGGGATATCTCCATGTCGTCACCCATTCCGTTCTTTCCAAACCATAGTAAGGGTAGCTTAGAAGATATATCTCGCCAAAAAAGTTCAGTGCTTCCTAAGATGTTGGAAGTTAAGAGAGTTGTGATGTCTGCCATCTTGTTCGAATAGTGGTCGCCCAGCAATCTCCTTGTCAATGAGCTCCAGACATGCTCAGAGTAACTGCAATAAAAAAACAGATGTGCTCTGGTTTCAATTGGAGCAGAGCAGAAGACACACCCCACAGAGATTCCCAGTCCCCAATGAGTCATCCTTTCCCCAGTCGATAAACGATATCGTATTGCTAGCCAAGTGATAAAGGCATATTTAGGAGTAGCATTTCGAAACCAGACTGCAGGACTTCAAAGGGTGCGAGCAACAGTATGTCTGATGTTATGCCATGTGTGCTTTGATGAAAACTTTGGGTGGAATTTCCCATTCTTTGTGCGCCAAATAGAATGGTTTTCCTGTCCATTACGTTGCTCCGCAGCTAAAGAGAGTGCATCTTCAATGAGATTTAGATAATTTTGTCTGTGCTGACAATGCCTATGAGTATGCCAGACTGATGCTAAAGAGGAGAAAACAGAGACACCAAAAGCAACAAAGCCTTGGGTACCTGTTGTCTCGATAAGCCGCCCCATCGAACTCCAAGCATCAAACCAGAAAGATGTTTCCTTCCCATTGTTCACTTTGACACCATGAAAGTCTTTCGCCACTTCCCTCATCTTAAGCATCTTTTACCACATCCAAGAACCGTAATTTGGCAAATCAGTAACCCCCATAATGATTTCCCTCTAAGCAGATATTTCTTCACCCACTTAACCTATAGGGAATTTCTCGATAAAAGAAGTCGTAAGCAGCAAACTGTATTTGCTTGTTGAATCGACCGTAGCCCTAATCCACCCTCTGATTTTGGCTTACAAATGTCCTGCCATGCAACCTTTGCTTTCTTGCGGTTTAAATATGGCCTTGACCACAAGAAAGCACCGCATATTGATTCAATCTCTGTAATGCAATTCTTTGGCAAAGTGAACGCAGCCATCCAAAAATTTATGAGGCCAGAGATCACTGATGAGAGCAGCTGTAAACGCCCGACATAAGATAAATGCCGCACTATCCATGAACCAATACGTTTCCGAATCTCCTCCACCAATGGTGCATAATCCATCTTTGTCACCTTCTTTGTTAACAACGGAAGGCTTAAATACCTGACTGGTAAGTCCCCCACTGCGAAAAAGAATTGGTCGATTATTGAGAGACGATCTTCGTTTGAAACTCCTGCCATAAAGATGGTGGACTTCTGCAAGCTGATATTTAAACCAGACATTGCTGCAAACTCCGTGAATACGTTGACAACTCCATTTATGGAACTGATTTTTTCATCTGAGAATACAATCAAATCATCCACGAAACATAGGTGTGTGAGGCTTAGCTTGTTGCAGTGTCGATGGTAACCAAATCTGCCTGCAGCAGTTTCTCAATCTAACATGCTTGATAAGATGTTCATACAGATGACAAAAAGATACGGGGATAGAGCACATCCTTGTCGCAAGCCTTGAGTGCTCTGGAAGTATCATGCTAGCTCTCCATTAACTTGAACAGAGAAATATGCTGTTTTGATGGATAGTTTTATCCCCATGGCTGGAATCCCCATGGCCCATAGAACTCATAGCAGGAAATCCCATTGAACTATATCAAATGCTTTAGCTATGTCTATATCAAATGGTTTCTGATTCACACTGGATGTACTCCTAGTTTCTACTGCAATAGAACAGTGATGTAGTTGTAATATAAAGGATTCGGAATCCAGAGGACCAGTGTTACTCTATGACTTTGCGAGGATTGAATTAAAGCTAAGACGAAAGATGGTGTGTTTGTAACGTTAACGACAAGTAAAACAAGCTAAAAACGATTTCAATTCAAATATAAAACAAGCACTAGATCAAGGTAATTCGCAGGAGTTTCAGAGATGAGAATCAAATGACTATTCAGGGCACAACTTAAATGCAGGTCTCGAACTCAAACATAAAAGCTTATCGATCCACTGTCGTGATCTCGATAACTTTATCTAACAACCTAAATTCTAAACTATCGTTTGAACTTAGAAAATTGCAAACAAGCATTAACAAGCAGGTTTGATCTGTTCACGATTTGCCTTAACTTCAACTGTCGTTGGCTAAGGACAAATCGCTCACCAGTGTTTATTCTAGCAACCTATTACACTTTTGATGAATATATTAACCTATGAATGTAAATTGAATGGCCAGTTCAACCTAAGCGTTAAGTCTAACAAAGGTGAAGACAATCGATTTTAAACCCTATTTGCATCCAATTCTCTGACTCATGAAATCCTTTGAAAACCTTAATCTAGCTAAGAGATCTACTCAGACATGCAGAAAAGAAACACAGCAACAGATGAAAAGAAATTCATGAATTAAAATCGCAGAAGAGATAATAGGGTTCAGAATTCTTCTCAAAATGTAGCAGATTTCTTCTCCCAAAAACTTACAAATAAAAAATCTCTGGTTCAGGAAATTGTAAAAAGAAAGCGTAGAAAGTCTGTAGAAAAACGTGATAGTAAAAGGTAGGCGGCTCTGGACTTTTTATTCTCTTTCTGGTCCCATAATTAGGTAAAAATCGATTTCCTTATTTTTCTCCCGGCGGTTGGAGCAGGTGCTCCACGAAAGGGTGAAATCGGGAGCAGGTGCTCCCGACCAAGAATGATCCAACTTCGTGTAAATTGACATATTTTGCTCAGCTTCAGCTTCTTTTTGCACCAAAAGCTCCAGCTGCTCCAATTCATCGCCTTAAGCCTCCTAGTTACCTGAAACGACTTGACAAAGACTCAAAAGACTCTAAAAAGATCAGTAAATACAGGTTAGAATGAGTCAAAATCTTCACTCATCAACTCCCCCGGACTTGGATCATTGTTTGTCCTCAAACAAACTCAAACTCAATTCCAAAAGAATGACTGGATAAAGGTGGGAACTCGCAAAACTCAAAAGACCGTAAACCTGACCAAGGCATGTGAAGACTTGCTGCAAAAATCAATCAAAAATCTAACCTCCATGTACTTCTCCGTAGACATTGCAGCTTTCCAGATTAGTCCCTCAATTTCATAACATCATCCATGTCCCATCATTGCTGAGTCTCATCGATACAACTAGTGCCAAGGACCTTCTAGACTCGTTCCCATACTTATACCTTAACAAATTGACCATACTACGCAAGAGTATCTTTCCTCTCCCCCGAACTTATTCACTTTTCAAGCTGTTTCATTTTTTTTTTTTTTTTTTGGCACATATAACAAGGTTCTAAGACGCGAGTATTGATGGTGATTGCCACCGAATCCCCGGTTTGTCCCCTCATTATATATCAAAGGTGTAGGCGAATAATGGGGTCACAGGAAATTGTCCTACCCCTCGCTTCCATCCCTTGTGTGATCATTCCACTTTAGAAGTAAAATAATGGGATCCTTGGAAATTTTCCTAACCCTTTACGTCTAAAAGAAAATCATTTCAATCTTTTCTGCCTTTTATCATTTTTTTTTCAGAAACAGCCTGAAGCAATGCTTAGAATAAGGGAGAGGGATACCAAATTTATTACACAGGTCTTTATTTGCCAGGTAAGAATGTGGAGTCAAGCCCTATGAGCACTAACCTGATCGATGAGAGAAAATGAAGAGCTGAGAAATTAGCTCAGGTTCAATGGACAAGTCAAGAATTTTGGGCTCCTCTAGTCTACTGCTTTGTCTTTGGATTTTCCATTAGTCGATCTATATGATTCTGCAGCAATGATCACTGAAACAAAACGGTCAAGATTCACAAATGGTCTGAAATCATCATAGAATTGGTCATTATTCCCACAAGTTTTGACTTGACTCATATAACCAACTGACTTAAAGAAACAAAATGACTCAAAGAAACAAACTAAAAACTGACTCAAAGAAAGAACTAAAAGAAAGAAAGCAAAAGAAAGAAGTACAAGAGACACGACCCTCCCCCGAACTTACTTCACACCGTCCCCGGTGTGAAAATAAGCTAGAGAAGTGCCCAAAAAACTTACCTGGTTCGCACAAGTAGAACACCCTGGCGGAGCAGGTGCTCCGGAACATGAGCTGGGTGCTCCCTCGTCTTTTGTTCGTCTGGAGCAGGTGCTAGAGCAGGTGCTCCGGTTTCCCTTGGGTTGCTTCTTCCTCAATTTTTCGTCTAGAGCACCCTGTGGAGCAGGTGCTCCGGTGGGGATTGGGGTGCTCTTTCGTCAAATTCTACGTGGTGAGCAACCAACCCAGCAGATGGAGCAGGTACTCCGATGGGTTGCTCTTTCCTTCTTCTTCTTTTCACTTCCATCGCTGAAAACCTCTCAACCTGCTTTCTTTCTTTTTTTTTTTTTTTTTTTTTTTTTTGAAAACAAAAACCTAAAGAACAAAGTTAGTAGCAAAAATGAAAGACACAAAGTTAGAGACTCTTACCGGTGGGTTGCCTCCCACCAAGCGCTTGTTTTAAGTCATTAGTTTGACTTGGAAAGCCTTTTAGGCTTGAGGAGGATCGCTTAAGGTGACTGATTCACCCTCTGCGATATTTGGACCAGCAAGGTATGGTTTCAACCTCTGTCCATTGACAACACTCGCCTCCTTTAGTGTCCAGCAACACTACAGTTCCATATGGTCGAACCTCCTTGATGGTGAATGGTCCAGACCATCTCAATCTCAGCTTCCCTGGAAACAATTTCAATCTAGAGTTAAAGAGCAATACCTGATCGTTTGGTGCAAAGCTTCTGTTAAGGATCCTCTTGTCATGGAAAGCTTTTGTCCTTTCTTTGTAAATCCTCGAGTTTTCATAGGCCAGGTGCCTAATTTCCTCCAGCTCGTGCAACTGCATTACTCTCCTCTCCTGAGCACTCTTTGCATCGAAATTCAGCAGCTTCACTGCCCAAGCAGCTTTGTACTCAAGTTCCACTGGAAGATGACATGCTTTTCCATACACCAAGTGGAATGGTGTAGTCCCCAAAGGTGTTTTGTAAGCTGTTATGTATGCCCAGAGAGCATCATCAAGCTTCACTGCCCAATCCTTCCTTGTGGTGCTCCCAGTCATCTGCAGAATGTTCTTAATTTCCCTGTTGGAAATTACAACTTGCCCACTCGTCTGAGGATGGTATGGGGTCGCCACCTTATGCCTTACACCATTCTTCTTCAACAAGTTTTCAAAGACTTTGTTGATGAAGTGATAGCCTCTATCGCTAATCACCACTCGCGGCACACCAAACCTGGGAAAAATGACAGATTTGAACATTATTAAAACCACCTTTGCGTCATTTGTGGGACTAGCCAGAGCTTCCACCCACTTTGACACATAGTCAACTGCCACCAAAATATACTCATTCCCATAAGATGATGGAAAAGATCCCATGAAGTCTATACCCCCACACATCAAAAATCTCCACTTCCAAGATGAAATTTTGAGGCATCTCATTCCTCCTGCTAATGTTTCCCTGTCTCTGACATGTGTCACACCTGGATATGAATCTCTGCACATCTCGGAACATAGTAGACCACCAATACCCAGCCTGCAGAATTTTCGACACAGTCTTGAAAGTGGCGAAGTGACCTGCATAAGAGGATCCATGGCAATGAAACAACACTCCTGGTATCTCCTCATCAGCTATACATCTTCTGAAGATTCCATCAGAGCAATGCTTGTATAAGTAAGGCTCATCCCAAAAGTAGTGTCTCACA